GACAAAAATAATAGTGGCAGCAGCAGCAGCAGTAGTGAAGAAAGCCACGAAAAACACAAAGATAAAGGAAAACATAAAAACAAAAGCAAAGAAATTCAACATAAACATAAAGACAAAAATAATAGTGGCAGTAGCAGCAGCAGTAGTGAAGAAAGTAACGAAAAGCACAAAGATAAAGGAAATCACAAAAACAAAAGCAAAGAAATCCAACATAAAGACAAAAACAATAGTGGCAGTAGCAGCAGCAGTAGTGAAGAAAGCAACGAAAAGCACAAAGATAAAGGAAATCACAAAAACAAAAGCAAAGAAATCCAACATAAAGATAAAAATAATAGTAGCAGTAGCAGCAGCAGTAGTAGTGAAGAAAGCAACGAAAAGCACAAAGATAAAGGAAAACATAAAAACAAAAGCAAAGAAAATACAAACAAAAGCAATAGCAACAGTGAAGAGAACGCAGACAAAAATACTTCCAAAGACAAAGGAGACCATAGAGACAAAAATAAAAGCAAAGAAAACACAAAACATAAACACAAAGATAAGAATCAAAGCAGCAGCAGCAGCAGCAGCAGTAGTAGCAGTAGTAGCAGTAGTGAAGAAAGTAAGGAAAACACAACTCCAAAAAATAAAGAGAAAAACGAAGATAACCATAAGGATAACGACAATAAACACAATAATAACAATAAATCTGATAACAGCAGCGAAGAGAACAATGAAATCACAAAATCACCACCACACTTAGACAGCAACGAAACCACTAAAAGTGATAGTGATAGCAAAGAAAACATTGATGATAATGGTGCAAAACTACCTTCAAGTGAGAATCAGTCAAACGACACAGAAGAGAGTAAAAGCAAAGAAAATAATGATGACAGTGAAGTAACATTAAAACCTCCCAAAGAACATCCAAATACTAAAGAGGAGAGCAAAGAAAGCGAAGATAGTAGAGCAATACCAGATCTTCCAAATGAAAGTAAAGAAGACAAGAAAAGCAACGAAAACAGTAAAGAAAGTCTCTCAACTGAGAAACAACCAAATGACAAAAATGATAGTAAAAGCAAGGAGATTAGTGAAGATGGAGGAGCATCAGGAGAACTCCCGAAAGAGAAACAGTCAGATAGCACAGAAGATAGCACAAGTAAGGAGAATGGAGAAGATACATCGCTGGAACATCCGTCTGAAAACCAAACAGATAACGAAGAAAACAATAAAAGTAAGAACAGTGAAGATAATGAACCAATACCTAAACCTCCGACGGAGAAACAACCAGATAACAAGAGCAAGGAGAACGGAAAAGATGGTGGAGCATCACAAGAATCTCCAAAAGAGAAAGAGTCAGATAGTACAGAAGATAGCACAAACAAAGATGGTAGAGCATCACAAGAATTTCCAAAAGAAAAAGAGTCAGATAGTACAGAAGATAGCACAAACAAAGAGAACAAAGAAAATAGTGATGCATCGCAAGAAGATTCGTCTGAAAAACACTCAGATAGCAAAGAAAACAGTAAAAGTAAAGAAACCAATGAAGATGATGATGTTACACTAAAACCTCCAACTAATAAACAGCCAGATAGCAACGAAGACAAGAAAAGCAAAGAGAATAGAGAAGATAGTGGAGCAATACCAGACCTTCCAAATGAAAAACAGTCGGATAGCATAGAAGACAGTGAAGAAAATGGAAAAAGTCGTACTACAACGGTGAAATCGCCGACTGAGAAACAGCCAAATAATAAAAACAGTAAGGAGAACGAAGATGGTAGTACCTCGCAAGAACCTCCGCCTGAAAAACACTTAGATAGCAAAGAAGATAATAAAAGCAAAGAGACCGTTGAGGATGGTAAAGTAACACGAGAACCTCCAATTGAGAAACAACCAAATAGTAAAGAAGACAGCAAAAGCAAGGAGAACAGAGAAGATGAACAGAGAAGTGAGTCAACGCTAGAACCTCCGACAGAGAAACAACCAAATAGCAAAGAAGATAATAATAGCAGGAGCAAGGAGATTGGTAAGGATGGTGGTGAAACGTCAGAATCTGATAATCAGTCAAATAGCAAAGAAAATAGTATAAGTCAAGAAAACCAAGAGGATGGAAAAATAACACCAGAATCTTCGACTGAGAAACAGTCAGATAGCAAAGAAGATAGTACAAGCAAGGAGAACAGAGAAGATAATGAAACGCTAGAATCTTCGATGGAGAAACAATCAGGTACTAAACAGAGTGGAAGTAGCGAAGATAGAGAGAACGATGGGCAATCTAACTGCAAAGATAGGAAAAGTAGTAGTAGCAGTAGTAGTGAGAGTGTGGCAGATTGTGGAAACATGATAGATAGTTCAAGCATAGAAGTTTCAAGTAGTACAGAAGAAGTAGACGAACCTGTTTCTACGTGTACTGCTGAAGGTTTCTTACCTGATCCAAATAATTGTACGAAATTTTACAGATGCGTTAAAGTGGGACAACAACAGTTCAACAAAATAGAATTTGTATGTCCTCATGGTACTGTATGGGATCAAGACAAAATAATTTGTAATTTTGAAAGTGCTGTTAAGAAATTATCATGCAAGAAGAAAGAAAATATGACTGAAAGAGATGGAAAAATTAATAGCATTGAAGATGATAAAAATTCTCTCGAATTTCCAACTGCTACTGAACTGCCGATTTTATCAACGACTCAATCTGAATTGTCTTGTCCTGTTGGAAAGTTAACTGGAGAGCAAATACTTCTTATTTGTCCTAGTGGTTTTCGACGTCACCCTAAATATTGCAATCTGTTCTATCAGTGTACTATGACAAAGAATATAAATGCTAAGATTGTCATGTTGAAGTGTCCTGAAGATACAATATTTGATGATACAAGAATACAGTGTGTGAAGGAAGGAAAGATGCACAAAGTTCAGGATGGATATACCAACTGTCAGAAGTTTAATGTATCAAGTGGTGATAAGCACAATTCATTTGTAAGTAAATATTACATACAATTGTAAGTAAACATTACATATATTTGTAAAAGTGAATAATACATACTTTCAGAAATTATATTATTATATCTATTTGTGCAGCAAATTTGCTGGCTTTTACATTTTTGTTTATTTTCCCTATCATATATAAAAGTTGATCTATAAAAAGTTATGATATATGTTTACAGACATACCAGAAAATTTATATTGTTTCACACTTTATAACACTACTGCATTGATTTCAAAGTAAAATTTCTTATAGCTTAATTAATTTTGCTTAATTGATTTTGTCTAGTTTTAGTTGTTAAAAAAACCTTTCAATATATACCAATAATTTAAAAGATCAACTAAGTATATATAGTTTTCTAAATTATTAAAAACCATTTTGTTACCTTACTTTCAGGTGGATGCTTCCACAAGAAGAATGTGTCCTAGCCAAGGTCATTTCCCTTATTGTAAATGTTGTTCAAATGCATATTATAAATGCAAACGCAATAAGTTGGGTATTCTCGAAGGTTATCTTGTTAAATGTCCAAAAGGATGGACATATTCAAATAGTTCAAGACGTTGTGAACATGCTAAGTATTTTCCAATGTGCCAACTTCCTGAAAAAGAAAAAGATAGTCTTTCTAAAGGATTGTATATTGACCATCAAGAAACATTTTACATTGGTAGGAAGCTACCTTATGGCAACTATAGAAGAAAATACAAGCATCACTATGTATAATAAATTTTGACTACACTATGATCCATATGTATTAATATATAAAGGGGTAAAAAATATAACAGTCTTTATATTAAAATGTTTCATGTGCAACATTATTCGCTCTCGATATCGATATACTTAAATATACGATAGATATTACACAATAGATAATATGTATATGTTCAATTTCTCAATATGATTATTTATTTTGCCGCAAAAGAAAGCCTCATAAACATCTCCGTCATAAAATATTATTACTGTCACGTCGCGTGCAACTCGAAATAACAATAACATTAATTTAAAAAAAATTAATAAAAGTAATTTTTACTATATAATGACAATATAGAAGCAAAAGATGAGCAGGACTACTTGCGTAACATTGTGATGATCTATTGCAAGTGTCACAGAGCGATTTGTATGACTTGTTTAGACTTGGTCTGTCTTTTTCTGTCTTTATGAAGAAATGCACTTTTTGTTTGCTTTTCTGTTATTTAAGCGACAAAAACTCTGTTAATCTCTATTATTGGGGTTGGTTTGGTTTGGTGCAAGTATGGCTCTTGGGACCATAAAGACTAGTCCACACGCCAGTCTGAGTTCTATTATTGGGGGTCGTCTCCGTGCAGAGAGAGGCCTAAAGCCCATTCTACATTGATCGCAAGCGCAAACGCAAGGAACAGGTCTGGTGGAATTGACTAATCGTATTGATTAAATCAGCTAATTGACCAGCGTGATTGGTCAATTCTACGAGATCTATACCTTGTGTTTGCGCTTGCGATAAATGTAGAACGAGCTAAATGGAACACTTCCTAATCGCGCGAAACGAACCGCAACCGTAGCACACTGACTCGCTTCTGATTGGACAGGAAAAAGCTGTCCAGTGACATCACGAGTTTGCGACTTTCTCCCTTCCTATCGTATTTCAGTACTTGAAACACAGCCAACAAACTGAGGACGCTGGTGCAGTGAACTATCGACATTCCGCTTGCGATTCTCGAAATATTATCTTGAAACTTTTGGCGGCAAACGCCACATTAGGCTTTCTCAGGTTCTAGATGTACGTTTCGTTATAATGCGCGCACATGTGTTTTAGATGAAAGATTCGCGATATCCGATTGAGAAATATATATGCGACTGTTACACTTTCGAGGACAACTGTTAAGATTTGAGATGAAGATAACAAGTGTGACGTCTGTTATCATGTGCTTGTGCATAATATAAGAGAATTATACAAAAATGCCAAAAATATGTGGTAGAATAACGGTAAAGAAGTTTGTGTATACTTTTGCCTTTGTTACAGATATTGTGTAAGTTTTTATATAATATATAAAATATTGTATGCATGTATTTGGCACATACATAATTCATTATGATCTTGTACAGGTTTGAATATGTTAAGAAATTCTTATTTTTTAATATTTAGGTTTATGCACACTGCCACAAAGAGTTTGTTATAGAGTTTGTCTCACAATCAAGCAAAATATTGTGTTATATATTACGTTTCTTAGTTTTATTTGAAAGTTTGAACAAAAAAGATATTTTAAGGTTACAAAAATTAAAGATCAATGTAAAAACCAAAGGAGGTATTTTGAAACTATTTTTAAAAAGTTATATCAGTGAATATATACTATATACATATATGTAGTTTGTTGACTTAACAAGTTGTATACATTGCAATTAAGTGGTACAAAATGAAATACAGAAGAAAATCAGAACAAGAAAATAAGAACAAATTGAATGTGTTAAATCTGCTTCATCCATGTAAGGTTGTGCTGGATGATATTGTTTTAAACACTGAGTTACTATCAATTTATGAACAAAACTTATTGAAAAATGCAGAGACAAAATTAAAGCAAGTATCATCTAGTTACATGTCCAATTCTTTCAACAATGTTCATCCTGATATAAAAAGTAGAAATAAAAAAGTAAAAAAAAGTATACAGAAAGAAAATGTTTTAATAAATAAGAGATCTAGTTGTAAAAGAAGAAAAGAAGAGTATGAAAATGAATGTTCCAAAGAGATAGTTAAACATGATACATATAATATATCTACAGATATAAATTATATTGGAAATAAAGTGCTTGCAATAAGAGAAAAACCTGATAATGTTATAAGACCATCTGAAAACAGAAAGAATAGAGTTAGTTCTAGTGAAAAGATAGTCAATGTACACAATGTTCCTATAGACACAAGCTATAATAATACAAATGAGATAATTGCAATAACAAGCGAAGAAGATACTGTTTCAAATACATTTGAAAAAGAAAGAGATACAACAACTGTAGATGAAGAAACAGTGGACAATTATATATGGAATTATACATCAATAGATGAGACAAATTATAGTAATGAAAATACATTGAGTGGAGCAGATAAGAAATATGATAGTAATGTAAGTCTGTATAGAGAAAAAAGTACAGTTAGTTTGGATGAAGAAGATACAGATCAAACTTATGATGATTCTATTGATGCAAACTGTGATAATGCAAATACAATGATAATGACTAAGAAACATAACAATAGTATAAGTTTATCTCAAGAACAATGGAGCAAAGCAAGTTTTGATGAAACAAGAGAACATCATGCAATAAATACAATAAATGGTAAGTTCTATTTATAGTATTTATTTTGTGTGTGTATGTGTGTGTACACATATACATAAGTATGTCTTATTTAGACTATACTGATAATAAAAATAAGAAAAACAACATAAGCTTATACATAAAAATACAAAGTTATGATAAAATTATGAAAGTAAAAATAATAGATTTGTTTTGATGTAAGTTTATTATGTTCAGACAATATATATTTATTAATTTTTTTATACTTGCACCATGTTTGTTACTTTCTATTAATGAAGATCTATATAATTTCTTAATACTGATAGCTATCAGTAAATTCTAGAACTTTATAATGTAATAATATATATTAGTCGGTAGCAAAGTGTTTATAGTGTTTTTATAAACTTCAAAAATTGTTTTACTATGTAATACATAGTCTGAATATTCCAGGACAGTATATATGTTAGCGTCAAAACTCGAAGTCCGGGCAGTCTTAGGATTGACTGGTCAATACCCGAAAAAAAGATTAGGGTTAGGTTAGGTTAGATTTTTCGGGCTTTGACCAATCAATCCTAAAACTGCTTCGGGTTTTGACGCTAACATATATATGATAAGATGCAAACTTAAATTAGCAAACTTAAGTCTTATTTTGTAATTGTTTAGTAAAATACTTGAAATACACATTTGTGACACTGAAATCATAGAAAAATAGCAAAAAACTATCAAGTCTTAATAATCGACAAAAATCTTGATTTTTAAAATTTAGTTTAATATGAGAATAAACAGAAGTAATGATAGAAGATATTCTAATATTGCATCTTCTATAGAACATGTAAAGAAAGTGTCACAAATTATCGTCTTTAATTTTTCTTATCAGTATATGCTTCTTGAAAATTTGTTTATCTTACTATAAAAACTACTATGATGTTTTATAGTGAAATTTATGCTTTTTTTGTAGCATGTTGTATTATTCTGTGTATATATGTATTATCTTTTGTATCTATTATTATTATATTTATCTTTTGTCCTATGTATTAACTTTTATAATGTTCTGTACGTCTATGTGTGTTTGTATGTTATACTTTATGTGTATATGTAGTTATACTTTTATTTGTCTATAGATATGAATAAGAAGTCAGTCAAATCAATGTCTAATGATAAAAAATATTTGAATAAGACATTTCCAACTTCTCTTGATTGTAATAGCACAATGCAAATAAAATGTAGCATTCCAATAAAACAATATTATAACAATTTATATTTAGTTAATACGAGTTCTACTGACACGAATGATATGGATAAGAAAACTTCACTTTCTGCTGGTTTTGCTAAAAAATTATCAATGACTTCTAACATTCGTATTAATAACAAATTATCTTCAATTGATATTGTCAAGGCAACAAAGTGTGTAGTAAAATTGCAGCGGAGTGATGTCAATTTATATACGAGAAGTAAGTATACAGTATTATTATGTTTGTCACATTATATTATTAATAATAAAAATAATTTAAAAATGAAACGCTTTTAATTGTTTAGATGTATCCGCAAATTTAAGTGACATAGATTCAGGAAAAACCTCAAGCTCTGTGAATACATCAGTTACCGATGTTAAAACAGACATGAGAACAAATTTAAATAATGAGTACACATCTTCAGTAGAATATAATACATTCAAGACTTCAGAAACAAGCCCTAAGATTAATTACTTTGATAATATTATACCTAGTTCTCCAGAAATATGTAGAAGAAAGTCTAATAAGAAAAAAGTATCTGTTATAGAGCATACCACATCATTATTTACTGAAAACAAAATTTTATCGAAACAAAATATGCAAACTGTGCAGTTAAAAAGAAAAAGATATATGATAGAAGATGATTATTGCGAACAAGATTCTATGGAGAAAAATAATTATGATGATAATGTAAAAGAATTTTCTCCCATTAATGAGAGTGCGATGAAAGCTGCAAATGTCATCAAAGAAAAAGAACATGAAAAAATTAAATCACATATTTTAAATACAACAAATCTTGCCTTAGAGATTAACAATAATTTTACTTTCAGAAGTAGCACAATAAACAAGAATACTTCAGATTTTACAGATATAGATAAAACCCAAGAAGTTGATCGATCACTATCTGTTAACAAAGAAAAACCTATAACACAAACCGAATATCCCGGGTTGGAAGATAACTTTAAAGATTCGAAAAGCAAACGAATTAAGCTGAATAGAAACACGCCTCTGGATACTGATAACATTGATTTGCGTAAAATATTAGAAGAAAAAAGAAAATTGCGACAATTGCAGAATCTGGAAAACAAAAGTAATGTTACGTATAAGTATAATGAGAAAAACATATCAGTATCTGAGCAGATAAGAGCAGATAATACATGCAACATTTCAATAAATAACTTAGAAATAAATGATAAGTATGACGTATCAAATACACATAGCGAAAGTGAAATAAACTCATCTTTTAACGATGAACCGAATATTGGATTTGTTCATGAAAATCGAGGTAATGCAAGTAAAGCCATTTCACAATACTCACTTATGTGTTTGTACTCGGCAAGTACACACACACCGGAAGACATACAAATTTGTAATTTAATTAAAGATAAATATTATGTTGCTAGATATTTGTGACAACGTTAAAACACAAAAACAGGATGAGAATAATGTCAACAAGAAAACTTTCAACGACAGTGACGCCGACAACAATTATAAGAATAATTATATCGATGATGATAATGACAATGACGACGATGATTGTATTTCTCTTTATGCAAATGAGACATTTGATGAAAGCCAGTAAGTATATGTATCACGTGACCAAAGAAGCGATTTTACATTCAAATATATTGCTGTTTGTACTGTATTAGAAAATCAAGAAAGGTTCGTGCGGTTTTGCTCATGAATTTCACTGTCATCAACAAATATACTCGAACACTTATTTGATTATCTGATATTAGAAACAATCTAAAAGAATTTATATACACATAATTATATTATTCATGATAAAAACGTGTGTATTACATGTTTTCCAAAATGTTAGCAAGTTTTTTACAGCTTATTTTATACGTATATAAAATTCTAAAATATCATTTTTATGTAACAACTGATAATGTAATTATTTTTATAGGGACGATTCAGTACGTGAAGAAAACAAAACAAACAAATCTGTTATAAACAAACCTGTATATTCTAATAAGTATGTAATAAGTGATAACAGTTTTGATAACTTTTTGAGACACAACACATATAAATTCAATAAAGAATATTTTTACAGTTATATGTATATATGTTGTATATATATATATTTTTTTGTTGTATATATAATATATATATATTTTTTAAATGAACTATATTTTATGTAACAACTGATAATGTAATTACTTTTATAGGGACGATTCAGTACGTGAAGAAAACAAAACAAACAAATCTGTTATAAACAAACCTGTACATTTTAATAAGTATGTAATAAGTGATAACAGTTTTGATAACTTTTTGAGACACAACACATAAATTCAATAAAGAATATTTTTAGTTATATATATATATACATTGTATATATATATATATTTTTTTTAATGAACTATATTTTATGTAACAACTGATAATGTAATTACTTTTATAGGAACGATTTAGTACGTGAAGAAAACAAAACAAACAAATCTGTTATAAACAAACCTGTACATTCTAATGAGTATGTAATGAATGATAACAGTTTGATAACGTTTTCAGACCCAACATATAAATTCAATAAGGAGTAGTTTTATATTTTCATATATATATTCTATATATATTATATATACTTTTATAAAATATAATTTTTATATAACAACTGATAATGTAATTACTTTTATAGGAAAGATTCAGTACGTGAAGAACACAAAACAAAAAAATCTGTTATAAACAAATCCGTATATTCTAATGAGTATGTAATGAGTGATAATAGTATTGATAACTTTTTGAGACACAACACACAGGAATTCAATAAGGAATATGCAAACAATGTAATTGACAGTATAGAAAAATTAAATGGATTGAATAAAACGGAAAAAATATCTACTATACAGCAACAGCAAGCTTCATATACAAATAAAACAAAATCATTATTACCAAATGAAGCTAAAGTTTTTCATGGATATTGCTATATGTTCTTAAGAAAAAATGTTTGTTATATACAAAATAAGTGCAGATATAGCCACGATGTAAGTTATATGCACCAACCATACATTAATTGCACACCTACATTTATTAATCGTAATATAATATGTATACACTTATTTATTGTAACATAATATAATATGTATACACTTATTTATTGTAACATATATATCGTACATGTAATGAGTGATATGTATTTTTAGGATAGACGACTTATTATGACAATAGAACAGAAACCTAGCAAGTCAGTTGCGGAGATAATACGATATGCAATCCAAAACTTTACTCAGTTTTCAAAGGAATGTTACTTCCGCTTTTTACAACGCTTAACAGTTGAACAGATTTTAACATTCTTCCACATGTTTTATGATAATAACTTTACATTTGGTCCTGAATATATTGAAAAAATAATTTTGGAATTATTTCGTCATCGAAAAATGTCATTAAAACTAATCGTAAATTGTATTGTTACATACATCCCTATTAAAAGATTAAATGAACTTTATAAAATACTAGAAGTTGTGAAACAACTTGTAAGACCTAGTGAATACTGGGATACTTTGCGAACTATATATTTTGCTCTAATGCCGATAAATGCAGATAAATTTATTATTTATCAATTATTATTTAATTGCATAAAACATAGGCAGTTAGTGAGAAGTGATAGCGTTAACGATATTGATAAGTTTTTAAATACACTTGATCCTACATTCGTGTCCCAATTGGATGAAAATACACTCAGAGAGTTCAGAAGTTTATTGGCTGAAAAAAATGGAACAAATTCTAGTCCTACAACCTGCGTTGCTCAAACGTCAGCTCAATATTTTGGAAAAAGTGGAAACAATGTGCAAACTATTGCCTCTCCTGATCCATCTACAGATGTTCATGCAGATATCTTAGAATCTGATATCCCATTCTGTGATGCTACTCCTACAAACAATGCCGATACAACCGGAATGAAGAAAAGTGAAACCAATGACAGAGATAAATCTTATGCGTTACAACCTATTGGTAATTATTGAGTACTAGTTTATTTAATTTTCATGCATGATTATGTATACGTGTGTGTGTGTTGTGTGTTTTATGTGTGTTGTGTTTTTTGTGTTGTGTGTGTTATATTTTACAGAGAAGTTTGAAATGTACATATTGCTGTTGCTTATATGCATACTTTTTTTTTTTTGTAGAAACATACTGCAGGTTGCCTGAACCTCGATCCGTTTTTAGATATCATGAACATTGCTGGAAGTTTTATCTAGATTTAGACAGATTGAAAATGGGATTTTATCAAAAAGACTACGATTACATTATTGATATCTTAAAATTGTATGTAGACAAACAAGTTACAGATAAAATTTTCTATCACACCTGTGAGATTCTGCGAAATGAAATAAGACGTTCGTTCAAAAATCACGTGAAAACCCTGTTGCAACGTGCAGGTAATGAAATAAACAATGGCAAGTTAATTAAATTCCTTCATTTGTGTAACCAAGACGACTATCAACATTTTATAAAACAGTATAAAGCAGATTAAACAGAAAAAAAAAAAATTAATTTTTATAATAGAATACTTACCAAATAATTTTAGATTACGATATTTTTACATGTAGCAGTTTATAATATACAAGTTTTTTTCATTTTTGCTTGAAAATGTGTTTTATATTTCTCTCATTTCGTTTTAATAAGTTTATCTTAAGGAAGAAGAAATATAAACGATTCTGTACGGTAGTGCACACAAGCTTATGTGTAATTTCGGCACGCGTTGTTTCTTTACATCTCGATGCTGTAATGCGTGCTTCATTAGTGTCAATGCGTACATTTATAAAAGTTATGCCCCAAAGAGAAGTAGTCAACAAAATTTTATTTTTTCTAGAAGTAGATTTCATTATTTGATAGAACGTGTCAACACGTGTATGTGCATACACAATTTAATATAATTTTAGCTCTTTTTTTTACACGATACATGTACACGTGTGTGATTTTATATATTTGAAACTATTAGAGTAGTTTTTGCTTTCTTCTTACATTATAAAAAAATAACATTTTTTACTTAATATATTAACTCTGAATGATTTACGAAATGCACATTATGAAGTACTTCCTGTATGCATTAGATTGTAATAGTAGAATAAAATAAAGTATTATTACAAATAAACTTTTTATAATTTTTTTATTTACAATCTCACACCTAATCTGTATGTCCGTCCACATTTCAGTTCAAAGAGATGTATTCGGCGATCTCGGTACACTTATATTTGACTTAGGATTAACAGTAGTGGCTAGTTTAATTGATGAGGAAGCATGGGAACTTGCACATCAAGTGATTCACTCACTTAGTACATATGATTTTCCTTTTAATGCAGCATTTTATCTGCTATTAGCTGAGATTTATTTAGCTAACAAAAATCCTCTAGAGGCACTTAACTTACTAAAAAGTAAGTTTATTTTATAGATTCTTAATTTTTCTTCTACATGTGTGTGTGTGTGTGTGTATGAGTGTACAAACAAGTAATAAGTTTTGATATTTAATTTATACAATAAAGAAAGAAAAAAATTTCTTCCATATTTAAATATCGAGTTTTAAAAACGTGCTGTTAATTTATTAAAAAATTATTATATACATACACACAGTTTCTATAATATTGACGAATAATATTGACATTTTTTCTTTGTTTTTTTTTCTTGTTAGTGTTATTTACTTTCTTTGCTTTTATTATGTTAATTGTTTCAGCCCATAATATTTTAAGTACGAGCCGTAGTAGATGGTATGTTAAAAGCATTGTTAATGATGAGGATATCAGAAACAAAATAATATATATTCTGCTGGACTTACTGCTTTGTAATGAATATATAGAACATGCCTTCTTTCTTTTTCGATTTTTGATTGTAGATCAAAGTAGTCAATATTATCCTATAGGTAAAAAGTGGAAGTTGTATATAAATTACATGATTATACTTAAAAACTAATAAACACTAAATTACTGTTACTAATTACTAACTACTTTCTAATTATAAACACTGTCTTTCCTTTTTTAGATTTATCTCGTTATGTGGACAAATTGATAATATTATCTTTATCAAAAAAGGATACGATATTACTTAGAGAAATAAGTATCTTAACACTTAAATATACTTTTGCATTACATGCAACAACATGCCGTGCTTTACTATCAACAGTAATAAACAATGACGAAGCTTTAGGTCGACAGATATATAATTATGCAAAAAACATTGGCGTTTATTCAAGACTGCAGGTAAAATTACTTTTTTTTATTTATAAATTCATGCAAAATTTATATACATATGTATGTTGTATGTATACATATGCACATATGAATTAATTTATTGAGTAATCTATATAAAAATTATTTGTTCATGCAAAATATGAACAAATCTCTTTTTGTAACATTTTAATATTTCATACATTTTTCTATGTGCTTACATGTTTGCTTATAGTTTTGGCCAATTACAAGTATTATTTTAAATACTGATCTAACAGAAGAAGAAATATATATAATAATTTTACAATTGTTGAAAGATCTCTTGTTAGATTTGGGACATGCAGCTGAATTTGCTAAATTTTCTCAAGTCAAAGTATTTCTTATTTTAGAGGTAAGCGCTCACTATAAATATAATATTTTTTTGAGATGTTCGCGCTAGATTAGAATATTTTATCTTTATCTTATAGTATATGTAAATAATTATAGTATCTTTTTTCTGTGTTCCATCTTTTTATATCGCGTGTCTTATATGTTATTCTATTGTTTTACAGATTAAATCTTCGAATTTTCACTACGCCAGACATTATCATAACATAATATATACAAATGCAAAGAGTTTAATTAAAAATGTCTTAACGAAACGATTTGAGCCTCCTTTATTGTTACAGTCATGTAGAGATCGAAGAATATGTAGGATTCAAAGTAAAAGTCTTATAGATCATTTAAAAGCAATGTATTGTAGTTAAAGACATTTGTTACATTTGGTTAATTATATAATGGAAGTTTATAATATTCCAAAGTATTATTATTACGGTAAGATTTTCTTGCGATCTATCATTAAATTTCTCTAAATTTTTGGATTTTTTAATAATTTTGTATTTGTATTTTCTTTTTTTTATAAGTTTGATTTTTGTTCTGTTTATTGCTTTGATATATTAATTCATGTATAATTGTGTTATAATTTTGTTGTAAAAACACAACTTTATTATTAATGTATAATTCATGTATAATTTTTATATGTTACGGAGACACAACTTTCTCTATTAATTTCTATTTTTTTAATTATAAACAGACAGATTTACAGTTACATGTAGACCATGGTAAATTTAATAATTAATTTTTTATTATTATACATAGAGAAACGTTAAATGTATTACAACATAACATACACACATTTTAATCTACAGTATTTGATTTATTCTGTCAACATATTTGTTTTATACATAATATGTGCATAATATATAAACTGATAAATGATGAATTTAAAGTTCTTGAGTATTCATTGCAGCAATACTGAATTATAACAATGGAAACAAGAAATTAGATTTAAATTTTTGTCATGCAATTAACACATTGAATATTTTTATTTATTTATTGTGTTGTTTACCGCCAATGACATTCAAAAGCATAACTTGGCAAACTTTGCCGAAAATTCTCTTCTCTTTTATTCTGCGATGATAAATGCACGTATAATTAAATTTGAGTATACTGTGTTTTTTTGTAGCAGAAATTGTTATGGCAAGTGATCAAGATTAAAAAATATATATTTTTTTATATATTAATCTCTCCGGTAAACATCAAAAAGAAAGTTGAATTTTATCACTTTATGCTTTCGATTAACTATATTATATGTAAAAATTAATATAAAAATTATTTTAAAATAAATTGACAAAAATTCGTAATTTCTTGCTACTAATGTCATAATTTAATATAGTTGTAATGAGTATCCGAGACTCTCAAGCTGGTAAAACTATTATGCATAATTATATTTATAGCAATAAGGAAATTGACCAGTGTAATACAACAGTAAGAATAGTTGTATAAGTTCAGAAGTTTGCATTAAATACACATTTAAATATTATTAAAAATTTACAATCACAGCTGTTGTCCTTTAATTTTGTAAGTACAGATAAATTTTACATTGAAAATATACACACATATATTTATCATGTTTTTTTTTATAATGATCAAATGTCTTCCTTAATACACATTTATGTAAAAAAGATGGTTTACAAAAGAACGCAAACAGGGATAACTGTTACAAGCTGTAAAAATGTATCCTTCTATTTTAATCACATGAAATATCAGCATTTTGCATGCTGCAAAACTGTGTTTCTGCATATATAAATTTTAGATAAATTTATAAAATAGGAACAATATATTTTACTATATTCATAGAATATATAACATCTTCACAAACAGAATTCACACATCTAAACATATAAATGCTTCAATATAAAATAAGAAATATTATTTCCTTTTTATATATATTATATATATATATATGTGTTTTCATATATGTGATTTTATCTATGCACAAATGGGTTTTCTACTAAATTCATGTAAAGAAATACAATACACAAATGTGTTAATATAAGTAAGTACTATATGTGCATATGTATATATATATACATAAATATTTAATCAAACTCAGGTATATCATCAAACGAATAGCCAGGTACTTTCTGATACGCTAAAATAGCCACCCTCATATGATAAGCCCCAGGTATAAACATCAAGGCTCCCAAAATTATCACTGGCCACATTCGATCTGAATACTGCAAGAGAATAATTTCAACAATGTATCTCATATGTGGTACGTAAGTATTAAAAATATTAAGTAATATATTTTGACAGTTTTCTTATTATACTTCACACTTGATATTACAAGATACTACACAAAATACAAATTATATAATAATGAAAGATCTTACTTTCGAATCAATGTGTCCGCTCACAATCAAGCTTCCTATAATAAGCATAACAGTCCCTCCAACAAAGAGAAGAGCTGCTAATGTGATGGCTTTCCATGGTATTTTCACCGGTGGGCCTACAAACTAATAAAAATAATATCCTTAAATAGATACATGTGTGAAAAAATTGTTTCCTGCCACAAATAAAATATAACAAATATATGAAGACGATTTCATTGAGGAGTGTAACGTCACATGTAATTTTTATGCTTAACGCTGAGAATTTATATAAATTCCTTTCACTCACTTGAGAGTCAAAGAAACCATTATCGGTTTCCGTAAGTTGTGTGTAATCCACGTTGTCAAATTGTCTGTCACTCCGAACTTTCTTTCTGCACATGCCCGCCTTATGAATGTAGTCTGAAACAAAACAAATACATGTTTAAATGTGTTTTTACCTGCCTACGTTTGAATGTTTGCAATGTCAACTTGAAACAAACAAATTGTGAAATTGTGATCAGTGAATACACAATAATAAGATATTATCGAAAAGTATAGAATCTTGATCGGTTCTCTTCCCAAAAGTGTTCTGTCTCTATGTTTAACACGGTGTTATATTTGATAAAAGAGAGAGATAAAACTCCCACTGAATACACATTGAATAGAAAAGTAAGCATATCCTTATTACCATCGGTTATCTCGTGGAGCTCATATTGGTGCGTTGAATACATGTCACATGCTCGTGTGTAAATAAATTTGTTCTATACTTTGTCAAAACGATAAAAATAGTTGGTTTGGTATGATTGTGGCTCAGTGGACCTTTTAAACTAGTCCATACGCCATTCTGTGTCTCATAATTTCTAGTTAAGAGCGCAGAACAATAAAAATATAAAACTTTGTACACGGTGCTATTGTTCACGAGTGACAAGAAAATTTTGTATACACATATGACATAAAAATGTTCGATAAATTGTTCAGAGATGGCGCTGATTTATCTACGTTCAGTGCTGCTTTCTGGACAGAAAAATGTGAACTACTTGAAACCACGCGGGAGAATCAAACGAGATGAGTGCAAAAATTTTTCGGTATTTAAAAAACACAAAATAATAAGTAATCGAATAACAAACTGAACACAGGTGTGCGAGGAAAATTGTTAAATAATCAACGCATAATTACAAATTGCTCAACTGTCCGATGCAATTGACACATGTCAATCAGAGACAGAGTCGTGTAAAAGTTAAAAAAAAAGACACATATTACAAGACTTCTTGCTTACAGTAGAATATCGTATATACCTGAATAAGACATCTAAATAAGTAATGGAGAAGTTTCTCTTCCTGCAAACAAACAACTCTCGATTCAATCGGTTTTCCTGCAGGAAAACCTGACCATCGAATGGAACAATAATAAAGCCGCGTACTTGTAAGATCGAGAGTGCGAATTAAAAAAAACTTCTCACAACTTCATAATTCTTAGATATAAAACAAACACACCAACATGGACCGATCCTAGCGGAATTCTGATTTTCTCCTTGGCACAATCGATCGATCGCAAATATCAACTATATAGCATGCAGCTTCGTTATGCAACTTCGTCTCATCACGCTTTATTTTTGCGAAGAAGCGTCACACGTCAAGACTCGCAAGCAGTCAAGTGGTCGAATGCGTAACGAAAATATTGTTGGGGACACGCGGATGACACTCCTCCTAACTCCATCACTCACTGATTCGGAAGGTTATAACGACGTCGTGCGATTGCTAACAAATTTCTCGTTTCTCGGATTCAGTCGTACCGAATATGAAGTTCCGATAGCCTGGCATAGCGTTCGACGTCACACGTGCCGCACGTTGACATAGCAGACTGATAGCCTTGAGACTTTTTCGCGATTTCGCCTGTCAGTCAGACGGCGATCGATCTGGCGGAAACAAGAGGAGGCTGCACCCGTTGCCTGCGTCGCGACGTTGATGACAGTGCCGTTGGAGGGTGCGCGAGGGTGGATCGCACCCCGGTGATGCGCAGTAAGCACCCCAGTGCGTGCTTGCGTGCATGTGTGTGTGTGTGTGTGTGTATGCGTGTAGTTGAGCACAATTATATCTACACGGAAGATAAATGTGAAAGAGAATCATTGATGAGATCAAGGACTATCCTCGCAATTTTGTAGTCATCTTATAATATCGCGACACGCCTCAATTCCTTTTTTAAATCCATTTCTTTACGTAAGAAATTGAATACTAGAAATAATTAAGCATACGCTCGCACGCATTCGCTGAAGCGAATCGAGTTTTCTCACGAGTAAAAGTTCGAGTTTGAATTTTCTTACGAACAAAATTTACTTTTATCTCGCTCGATTGTTCGATTAAAAAGACGCGAGGTATTCTGGTTAAAAAACAAAACACTATATATATATATATATATATATACTCACATTTGCCTTTATCGCTGCTAAATTATGCAGATATAAAATCAGATAATGGTTTTGAAACGGCGTATACGCTTTAGCGGGCGTTTCGTGACTCCGCATCGTAGAATTTCTTCCGGCTATATCTCGTGTGACAACAGCGCTCGTAGCACGAGCTTCACGTGCATGAAGCGCATTGTTGTCTCTTGTGCGCTCACTGCCTTGGTTAGACAACTTACGACAGTACGCCAGAAGCTAGCAATTAAAAGACAAAAAGGAGAGGGTGGGCGCGAATAAGAGACGTTCTCTCTCTCTCTTTCTTCGTGCAAGTCGCGCGAGATACATAAAACGACGAGAATTTAATTAATGAACTTGATAAATAAACGGCTCTTATGTCGACTTAAATGTGTCGAAGACATCAATTTCGAAATGACCGCGCTTAGTTATTAAAGGAATTTACGCGCACGGCCATTTATCTTCCTATTTTGCTTTACGAGAAAATTTACTACGCAGTTGAGATTCTGACGAGTGCAAGGATTTGCGCGTAAAACGAAGAGATAATAAAGCACATAATAAAGCTTCGAACTATGAAATACGTAATAGAAAACACGTTGTTTTGCTAAGCGAGATATTAATTGCGCGCCGCATTTGCTGCGCTTTTCTTTTTCGCGCGCGCATATATAAATACTTTTGATTAATTTATTCATTAAAGCACACGTGCGTCGCATAAATTCATATGAGTAGCGCGCGCAAAAAAAAAAAAAACAAAAATAGTTCTAAAATTAATCTTCTAATATTATTCCTGGATTCAATATTACACGACTTGTTTGTTTGTTTTTCTTTTTTTCCTTATCTTTAATGACTTCTTGCAACTGACAGGGAAAATTGGTGTTTATTTTAGTACCTGTCGGGATAAGCGTAAGCACGATTAATCGTGTCTTCTACGTTTAAATAAAAACGCCACGTTGAATAATTCCCAAGCCGCGTACGAAACGTAATACATTTGAAATTCATTGGCCGTCGTGGCTTCTCACTCACGCAGAATTTTCACTCGAGTGCTGTACACACGTATAACCACGTTAAATTACGTGGTGTCGCTTAAACAATACAATCAACGTAATCAATCGCAAATTATATTTCCACGTGATCATAAGTGATTTCATTTTAGATACGAAGACGTGTCAGTTGTTTAAGCGTCGAATTGCAATTGGTTATTTCTGAAACTGTGTCGGCAATTTGTCATGAACTTGTGACGCGTATGCGACAAGCAAGTTCTGCAATCCCGGACTTCTCCCTGCTGCAACTACGTGAACTTTTTCAGGAGTGGAGGCAATGCGGAGATTTCGTAGCGCAACGAAAAAACTTCGTCCAGTTTATCGCTCCGGAGTTTGGAAATTATATTGCCGTATCATATCCAATCTCTCTCTCGTGTTATTTTTCTAAATTATAATATTTCATAATTTTTTTTCTAATTGATTAACTACGCTCCTCTCGCTCCTCTCGCGATAACATCCAAATCGCGGTTTACTCGCTTATTACTTCGCGGATATGTTTTATCGTCCGAATCGGAATCGCGTCGAAATCGCTCCGTAAATTCCATTTGTCTGATAGTAAGACTACTCCGACGTGAACTTGACATTCGTGTGCGCGCCGCTTTTAACGATCCCCTTTGGAACCACCTTCGTACCTACAATTACGAACCGCTTCGGTCCGCTTTGCGTAACACACACGGCGGTCGTTCTTGTGTACATCGTTCTCGTGTAAAATAAAAGAACAAAAAATCGTTTGTTCACGAGAGCGCTGTCACTTCTCTCGATAGGTGCGACAGCTTGAGGGAGAGGCCAACTCAGCTGTCCCCGAAGTGCTTGACTACGTCATCACGGCCCTGCCGTGGCGGATCTTCCAAGGGCGCCGCGGGTTTGAATCGCGGCACTGTCGGCGTCGCGACGCCTGCGCGATGTCGTCTCGTCGGCGTTCGGTGCATGGAAGGCGACGGTGGCCCAGGGGCGGCAGTGCGGGTTCAGGGGGCAGCGAGGGTGGGTGCCTCTCCACCGTTGAAACTACCCCTTGACAACAGCCCGCGACCATTCTCTCGCACCCTCGCGCTTCGTTTCGCACACATCGTACGTACGTCGTCGCAACCACCGGTGGTTTGCACGAAGGGCGAGCGCGCAACGATCAATCGGGTTAAAACTCAGTGTGATCAATTTGCGTGTGATCCCGAGCGTTACGAACCTCGTTGTCATCCTCCTCTCGAGGAGGAGGAGAGGAGGAGGAGGAGGATCCACACACGACGTGCACGAACGACAGCCTCCCGTTCGTTCAGGTAAATCGATTAAGCGCATCATCATACATGTATGTATCGCGCGAATTTATACGCGAGATATATGCAAAATTATTCAAGACGCAGATATAGTGCGCGCGCGCGCGCGCGCGACGCGAGGATGTACAAAAGCGCATCCGGAACGGATCGCAGTTTAACTTCGGGCTTCGAGACGAGGATTGCGGAAAATTGCATGATCGACTGTCAGACGACCGTCGTACGTCTGCGGTTTCTGTGTGTTGTACTTACCGGCGGGTACACATATCGCAAGAATACGTACGTATATACAAATATGCGCAACTTCTCGAAACGCGTAAGTGTGCGTACACACCGGTTCGTCCGTCTTGTCCGATGGCGATCGCTCTCGACGGACCGTTTCACGCAAACGTAATTCACACATTTCCCCTGTGAAAGTATCGGTTAATCACCCTCGTTACACACACATACACACACACACGCACACACACAATGCGTGTTACGACTTCGAGGAATGCGCTCCTTTATTTTCGAACACAGTTTAATCATAACTCAGCGATTACCGTGACAAGTGCTCACTTTCACCGAGAGCGAACTCACGGATCCCGTATTCTCGTCTCACTTTTTCATCGATAAACGTGTGCCAGTATAAAAAAGCAAAAAAAAAAAAAAAAAAAATTGTGTATGTTCACAGCGTTCGTGTCGCCTGTATACCTGTATAGATTAGAAAAAAAAAATAGAAATAAACGAACACGCATTTGTCACGCGACAAAATAAGTGCGTGGTGAGAACACGGGCCTCTTGCTTCTTCAATTCTCGACGAATAAAGTTATATACAGGATAGAAGACACGAATAAAATTTCTTGAGAGCAATTTTATCTCGTTTGACACACTGAAAGATGCTACGCAATTTTTGTGCGCGTCTAAGGCAAACGACGAAGCTCTTGAAAGAAGTGAGATATGATTGTCGATAAAAAGAAAAAGCGTAAGAAGATAAGTGCCGATGACATCGATGATAGGATGCATTTTTATCACATTGTTTGCATCGCAAAATCGCGTAGGTAGGTATGTGAGCAACGACGCTGATTTTCCCGGAATGAATAAGTGAATTATTTATTACGAACTGGTATTGTGCAAATTGTTCAATTTTTCTCGTCTATTGAATTATTCAAGTTTGTATGCGCTTTTCGCGCACAAAATCGAATAAATCGTCAATTCGCAAGAACGCACGACACACCAATCAGAATATTCACGCATTACTTTATTATACTCGCGTGTTGTAATTTTTCCAACGTTTTATTCGACGCGAATTTGTACGAGAGAACGTAATATGATGCGCGCAGCGGTAATGAACACTTTATTTCAATAAAACATGGCGAATTACACGTACACTCTTCGACACACATATTTCTTTTCGATCCGCGCAAAACGATTTTGTTTTTTTTTTGTTTTTTTTTTTTTTTGTACACCTTCCGCACAAACGCGAATATCTAGGTTTTTTAGCTTGTGCAACATTATGGAGTATATCACAATTCGAGAATCGGTATCGTATGTTCCGATAATCCACCAAATCTAAAATCGCGCGCGTTGTATGGAAACGCAGGAAGCCTTACGGTTCAAGGAAATTTTACGAAGGTTACGCTGACCCACATCGCGATAACTGTATAAATATTGTCGCTGATTTTCTTCCGCGTTTGTGAGAGCATATTCTCGTTCTTCCATTAAGGACGTCGAACTAAAAAAAAAAGAGAATGTCAATGCGATAAGTCAATATAATACTGGTTATTTATACTGAACTCTGAAATATCGCTGTAGAGCGTCTATAATGAAAATAAAAACGGATAAAGAACGATCTTCCAGTCTAATAGTTATTTCGAGTTAATGAGAAAGAGGCTTTTTAATGATTTGCAAGTTAAAGATAAATTTGCAAACGCATACAAACTTACTGTTATTTATGCGCCAGTAATTATACGCTTTTTATTTCATTTTTTTTTTAATTTGATGAGAGTTCTTTAGATTTAATTAAATTTATATACGTTTTTAATTCTGTAGTTTAGATATATCTCTGTCTTTTTAAGTTTCTAGTTTTTATTTTTCTATTTTTCTCTTTTTTAATTTTTATTTTTTTTCTTTTTGTCATACTTATTTATACTTGTTTATAAAATTTATTTTTCATTTTATTATATTTTTGTATACTTTTTTGTAATTTTGTAATTTTTGCATTAAAAAAAAATTTTCCCAGAGCAATATAAATAAAACTTCAATCAATCAATCAATCAATCAATGTTTCCTCGTAGATAATGTATAAAAAAACACATCTTGACTTTCAATAACTTTTCTTTTCCTTCGATATTTTATAATACATTTTTTATTTTAAACTCGAAATTTCGATCAATACTAACGCGATGCGATATTGAATGGATTATATCACTTCTCGTGACTCATATAACAATATTGTCAGTAGTTTATAGTCGTTTAGCCGGTATAAAAACTGGCTTCCAGTAGGGATTAGAATTTAGTCAGACTGCAGTAAATTCAACCGCACGCAACAACCTGGACCTTGAAAAAATTCTAGCTGTTTAAATTACCGCTTCTAATAACGCCGCATTAACGCTAAACTCGTCAAATTGCTCGCGATTTGCGATTACGTCTATACGTAAATATTTCGTTGAGATATACATCGACGAACAATCTACGAAAATCGAAACCCGCATGGAGATAACGTGTCGCGTGCTTTCATTAATATAATTGCGCGAGATTGTTTACGTAAGTTTTCAAAGCGACATGAACAAACGGCTTAACGTCCTTGAGAATGTAATTACACGTGTAGATATTAATTCTTCACGCATTGAAAGTGTAGTTACATCAAAATACCACCAAGAGAGAGAGAGAGAGATCTTTGTTTCTCTTCTGTTTTGTTTTGGCAAAATCAATTTCGTTGTTTGTTGCCAACGCGTTGTTTTCAAAGTTGTCATTTGTAAGCGGAATTGGATGTTTACGCGCCACTCGATTATTAATCTCTTGGTAATTAGTTTCAGCATGGAGTGCCCGGAAGCAATAGAACGAGGCCGGAATTTTCGTTTACTCGCGGAAGAGGAGCTGTCGAAACTTTTGGACTTTCTTACAGAATACTTGCCTAACTCCTTGAAGGTACGTACAATTATCTATGCGATATTATTCTATCCTTGGTATTTTATCTACATTTACATATCTTATGTACATATGATTATTTTATTATTGCAATCAGGAGGAAGTGACATTTTTCTTTGTTATTCACATTCTTTCTGCTAATTATACAAATTACTATTAATTATACAAATGTCACGTAATCTTCGTTTTTACTTACGTGGTAATAGAAAAATTATTAATAGAAAAAAATAACAGAAGAAAATATTATATATATTATATATATATATTATAAATATTATATATAGTATATATTATATATAGAAAAATAACAGATTAAAATATTATTATAAAATATACATATATGTAATATTTTTATTTATTAACGCGCTCGCTATTATATGTGTGACTCATCAAAAAAACTTTGGCACGAGATATGTAACGAACGTTTTTCTCTTGGCGCGAACGCGTTAAATAAGAAATCAAGCTTTCGGAAGTATGGATCTTTTATGCGCGCGCGTGCGAAAGTAAATTGTTTATTTATATCTCAATATCTCCTCGTAATCTTATATCTGAACTTTGGAGCGCGCGTCACATTTTTCCTCCGTTCGACACGAAAGAAACAGTAAATTAAAAATAAACCAGCAGTATACTATTTTTTTTTGTCGATACGGAAACGCTAAAGCGTCGTCAACTTTTAATTTGATGTTGATCCAAAAAGGTGAAAAAAGATATTACGGCGCGGAATAAAGGTAGAAGTTTCCGAGATCTCTCTGCGAGGTACAACGGAGGGAGAGGATAGCGATAGGGGAAAATATCTATATACACATGTAGCGCTGTGCTATGCACATATAATGTTTCTGCTAGAATTGTTAATCACGACGACGGTAAATAAAACAGCCAATATATTGTACACAGTTAATTTAGCGAGTCGCGATTTTTCTATCTCACGTAAAATCGCGTCGTCGAAACAACGTGAGAGAGAGAGAGAGAGAGAGGCTGTTACAGAAGAGTTTACAGAATATTTCATATATTACAAGCGCGTAAAAATAATCCACCGAGAGGGAAAGCTGACACCGCCATGTGTGTTTGCTTGTGTATCCTGCGAGCTAGTTAATCACTTCATCTGGCATGCAAATCAGCGTGCCGTCGTTTAGTCTGCAAACGACCGATCTCCGCGAGAGACAATAAAGGTGGACTAAACGATTACATTTTGCCAATCGATAATGTAATTAAAGAGCCACAGAGAAAGATGCAATGTCGTTCGCGATGTCGAAACACAATTGCAGAGTCCTTGTAATAAACTCACTCTTTTGTTCTCCCGCGCGCGGCGCCTCCTCCCCCACGTTTTACTCAATGTGATATTCTCAGATAAAACGGATGTTCACGCAAGGCGAACGCGATAAGTGATATGTATGTATTTGTCTAGTCTTTCGGAATAAAACGCAAATCTTTCGGAGAAAATACGCATGAGCGAAGAGAAAACGATAATTGAATTTCTCTGGTTTCTATTTTTTTTTTTTTCCCCTGTAATTTTTAGCATCTCTCATTTGATCATTTCACGAGAGAAACGCGCGTTATCGCAAACACGGAGAGGCTCGCTCATCGTCACGAGGGACCAACTGCATCGCGTATCGTTGATAAGATTTACGTCATCTGGAAACGACGACCGAGCAACGCATCGCAACCTGACTCTGAAGCGCAATGGAATTGCACACGAAGGATCGGAGTTCAAAATCGAGCGTGCTAAACGCACATTGCGTACGTATGTACGTACACATCGTTATGAATCATTCGCGCGTCGCATATAAATAACACGCTGATGTTGCAACGTTACAACAGACTGTCCGAATATTTGTACGATCATTCGATTCATTGTGCCGCGCGGCGCACGATCATTAATTCAAAACGCGTCTGTAACTGCCCGTCGAGCCGATTGATTGAGTTCGTTAAATAGCCGTGTATTTTTATTTCATAAAAAAAAAACAACGACTTTCAAAACAATTTTTTTCTGCGAACTTGCTTTGGAAAATCACCGACAACGATCATCCGCAATTTCGAACGAGGATTAAAGCGAAGTTCGCGCTTGCAATTCACTTTGTGCTCACACGCTGAAGATATTATTAAGCCGAAAAGAGTTCTATTTGCCGGCGTTATTACGGGGGTCAACATTATGACGCGCGACCACGCTAACCCTTAATCGAAAAAGCGAACGCAAGGTGTTCCGGAATCAAGGCCAGGGTCGCCGCTTGCACACGTCGTCGTCGTCGTCGTCGTCGTCGCCGTCGCCGCGATGTTATTCGCCAATCGCCGCAGTGCCGATCACGTGACCTCGCGACTCTACAAACATCCGCTACTTTTGACGATATTAGAAGTCTCTCCGATATCGTAAATTAATCCGTACGCCTCGATGTCGATATAATGTCAGATTCGAAAAATATCGCGCGACTGTGACGTTATTATCAATATTGAAATCGCATTGTAAAGTGGAAAAGCCTATCGTATATTTTGTGAAAAGAGATGACGGAGTTCACGTTATCAATATTTTATCGATTCGATTACGTAAACGGTCACGTCAATGAAAATCCGGACTATTTTCGTTTTACGGACGCGAGAAGAGCACACGTTTTCTATACGAAAGTGGTAGATTGTGTTTCAATCGTCGCGAGAGAGAATCGCGCGCCGCAAAGGGGATATTGTTCAATTGAACGGATGACTGTCCCGCTGTGTGTTTTTCCGCGCGAGGAAAGAGATCGCGTAGCAGACCGATCAACACAGCCGGGCGAATCAATCGCGTGTTCAACGAATTATTTATAGAGAAAAACAACGTGGGCGCGGTGGGCAATCGCGTATGGTATTCATTCGCAACGAGACAAAGGAAAACAAGGTATCGCACGAAAATATTCGCCGTGCGTGGAATATCGGCGCGATCGGTATCGCCGCGCGGAATGTCGCGGTCGATCATCGGCGAACTTCGCATGCAAAGTGCATCGATTTCGCGGCGCGACGAAAAAGCACGCGGCGTCTGTTACGTGTGCGTCAGGAATACGACCTTGACCCCTCTCCCCTCTGGTAGAGAAAATACCTTTTCGCTGCTGCTCGTACGTGCACAGAGGACCGGTTTTGTGTCCGCGGTTTATTCCGGAATAAACGTTGCGCCGTACGACCTGCGCGCACCTCGTCGTTTTCGTGCCGGCTCGATCCTAATGGAGTTACGACACGACCGTCGCCGTTTAATTCCTTCGGATCGCTCACGAATGCGGACGTGTGCATAGGGGAGCGTTTCAAACCGGACGCATGCAACGTCTCGCGCGCGCACTTCGTCGTGGAGCACACGCGAGAGATGATTAAAAAAAAAAAAAAAAAAAAAAAGAGCGTGGGGAGAAATTGATACGTTATTCCCTCGATTCGCGCGCTCCATCACCTTTAACGATTCTTCGGGAAGAGACGTATGTGAGCGGAGCACGAGCCGCGCTACTTATCGGGGAAAATCGCGATGAGGGGGTCGGCGGTATCGATAAGATGGGAATCTAGACAATGCTCCGAGTCAGAAGCTCCGGTTCAAAAGAAAGCCGGATTTTGATGTGTCAGAGCAAACCGGACCGTGAATAATGCAGCGAGTTCTGATAAGATCGAAATGACTTAATATTTGCCTCATTATGTATGTCATAAATTAATTCCATACGTTAATCCCCTGCAAACTCGCGCGAGAAAATACACTCAAGAAAATCTGTATTATTATTATTATTATTATTATTGCACCTTCTCACAAATTTTATTGATTTATTAATTGATTTTAATTTTTTCGAAAAATCTTTAATTTATTTAAAATGTCGCACTTCACAGAACATCAAAGTGCATCGACAAAGTAGCTTTAAATATTTTTTAACAAAATATAAACATCCTTTTTTTCGAAACAGATTATTACAAGTCGCTCTTTGCCGCAAATTTGGACGCTTCTAAAAACGAATATTTTGAAAATAAATGGACTAAAAGAATGGATTAAAAATGAGCAAGAATTTTAAATGTCTCGACAAACTTCTCATTAAGCGCGAGTTTTGAAAAAAATCGCGGATCTTTCTTTCGTCAGCCTATATTTGCCGATTTACACGCGTGGAATAATGACTCCGCGCAACGGTCTGTGACACGATTACCATATCGTCGTTAACCTCTGCGGTTTGTTTATGGTTCTCTCGCATAAAGCGATTCTCTCGAGCGCGTGAACGCTTTCGTATGCGCCTCGTAAAACGCAGTACGCATACAGAAGCGTTTTGTGATATCGAAGAATAGACGAAATTTTACGATTTCTCTTTTGTTTTCTTTCATGGTCTTTTCTCCTAAGCTCTTAGTAAATTAAACTTAGAAATAGTGTTATTTCTTTTTCTGAAAAAAAAGTAAGACGGTCGCGTCACAGAAAGAAGTTTTTAAGGCGAATTGCCCTCGAATCGATAAAAGGTGGATGTATATATAGCGCTACGCGTTTCTCTTTCTCTTTCTCTTCGGGTCACGTTGTGTGTTGGTACACAATAGTTAAATAAGAAAATTTCCGCGAATAATGTCATCGTATAGAATTTTCCGCGTGTTCTCTTTATTTAAAAATGCCTGCGGGTGCTGGGCTGATAACGAAGTTATCAGCCTTTGAAAGAAAACATGCACTTCAAAGGGGTTGTTACGTTTTATTGCTGCTGAGAACAAAAAGCGAGCGTTTCTATTATTTATAACTGTTTTCTTTTTTCTGATAAAATTAAGACGTCCGCGCGCATGTCATGTAAAGTTTTTGTATATACGTTATTATGTGCACGTGTTTCAAATATCAGACGTTCACGAAACCATTTCATATAACCTTTCGTACAAACCGGTAGATTCGTATAAAAATAATCCACGACATATAATTATCCGCGCCTTTGACGTCAACTTGATAATTCGGAAAGTCGAAAGCTATCGTGCGAGATTGCAGTTACACTCTTATCGATCTAACCCTGACTACTCGGACTCTATTATACTATTTCTGGGGTGAGATTTATGCATGCATCGTTTATTCGTTATTTTCACCCATTATCCAGTTAAGAGATTCTCTTGAATGCGACACAAATATGCAGGTTGTCTTGTATAAGTGCATTGTTATTTTCGCAAATAAAATTTTCGCTCAAAACAAAAATAAACATTCCTTTTTTTTCAAAACTATTACAAGTCAACTTTTTCCCGCGAATTTTAACACTTTTAAAAGCGAAGATTTCGAGATATTAAATTTTAAAAAAATAAAAACAAAAAAAAAACATTAAAAGTGATGCATTAAGTTAGTGATATTTTGCAATTCAATGGACTTGGAACGGCCTTTGACTAGATTCTTCTCTCTTTTGTAGCGCTTTTTTTTTTACGAATATCTCTCGTTTTAAAAGACACCGTTGCTAAAGCTTTGATCTGTGAGATTCAGAAAAAAATATTCTTGACACACATTAAGCTGTAACGTCGTTCGGCTCGAGCAAGCTGAGCCTAAATAATTGGTGACGTAAAAACATCCCTGTTATAAAGTTAAAAGCATATATGGATTTGCTTTTCTATCGTAAAACTCACGTTTTTTTTCCTCCGTTCCATAAAAATTAAACAAATAAATTCTCTTTTGTAAAATATTTTTCTGCGTCGATCTGTACACGCTCTCTGTGCCGTGCATGTTTATATAATTTCTTTTATAAATATTATAAATATTTTTGCAGTTTCATCAGACTGTGCATACTTATATGCAAGACAGGGTCTGGGAATTCCATTTCTACGTGGCTAACGATTGGCCCGAGGATGCAATCTGCCTGCACTTTCCCGGAATGACGTTATCTGTAAGTACAAATTAAATTTCTGCCATGAACTCGAACTTATGGACGAAATCGGCACGATAAAATCTTCAACAAGAATTCACCTTTCTAACGATGTTTTACTTTAGACGACATTTCCCGTGTACTTTTCCAACTACATTTCCGTTCCTAGAAAAAATTGTCCACCCACGCATACACACACACACACACACACATACATACACACACACGTTTCAAACTTCTTTAATTTTAAACAGAAAAAAACAAGAGATTTCCACCAGTAACTCGTACACGGAGACACCACGTAGGATTATCGGGTCGATCTCAAACTCATCCAATTTATTTCTCAATTCAGTGTCATGTGTTTTTCGCGATGTGTTTTTTTTCCTTGGCAACGAGCTACGTATGTAGCTAATTGGAAGGAGCGAGTTATTCGACAGAACCATCTGACTCACTCGCTTCGAGGAATCGTTAATTCGCGAATATGTCGCGTGTTAACGAAAAAACATATATCTCTTCACCGCCGTATAAATACTGGAAACTCGTTACTTGTACTTCCGATCGTTTCTCAGTCGAGGATGAGTTGACCTATATCTCTCCTATAGACCTGGCTATTCGCCAGACGTTTCGTTTGACTCCCTCGCGCTTCTCGTTATCGTCGGGCTGGCGCGAATCGCGACTTTCTTAATGCCAACCGTCCAATTCGCTCCATTCGGAATGATATTTTGACGGTGCTTTATGGTTAATTACCCAATCTACGCGCGGGTACACTGTACAATCCTCGGCAGCTTGTCATAAATTCAGCGTCCACTGTCGCTTATTAGGTTCGCGTAACGCAAGGAATATCAAGCTGTCACGACGGCGAGAATTACGACGTGTCCTTTGACATTTAGTGCTCACCGCCGCGTTGATTACCCGCTCGGATTCGTGCCGTATTAAGCGGTGTTATTCCGCGTGCGAGATGTTTTTCGACACGAACGATAAACACCAAGAGTGCAAACGCAGATTATAATCTCTGTCGTCGTTCGACATGAAGGAGGTTTGAAGCACGTGTCACACACTAGCTAGCGTGTGTGTCGAGACGCACGATCTAAACTCACATTGTGATCTCAAAAAAAAAAAAAAACTCGCTAAAAACCATCACTCGTACAAACCACCGAAGCTGCGACAACCTGTGATTCTTTAAAATAAAACATCTCGTTTACGCTACGCATTATTATCATTGTTCTCATTATTATTATTATTATTGTTTTTAATACGCACAATGTATCTATTGTTCTTAATGCTAATCGCGTCTTCTTTGTGCTTTCAGCCGCACGGTTTGTTGTACGAGAGCGTCGGTGTCTTCTGTCCGAACGATCGGTTGGAGCTGCTGCGTCTTCTACGGGAGGAGGACATTCTGATAGACTGGTCGAGACCTTTGTATATTAATTTCGTTCACTACGACATCGCCGAGGAACTGACGCGTCTTTACGAAGGCATGGGCACCATCGAGACGGTCGTGGGCGATGTTTGTGCGTGCGAGTTGTTCGACGACGAGAAGAGCGAGGATCCGGGTGATGAGGATTCCGACGTCCAGGTGCGGCCACTCAAGGCCGAACACGCCGAGGGCATCCACGAGTTGTATCCGGCGAACGACATGGAATGCCATGAGCTCTTTCTCCGGCTTATTAACACTCTGCCCGCGGCCGGTGTGTTCGCGAAGGGTAGTCTGGCCGCTTGGATGGTCCAGTCCTATTACGGAGCCATGTTCTCCATGCAAACCAAGCCGGAACATCGTAGGAAAGGTTATGGGACGAAGCTAGCAAGGTAAAGAAGGCTTGGCGTGTTTGTTTCTTTTGCAACAAATAACAATATATCGCTTATTGTACTTATATTTCGCTACTATTACACGCCGAAATACATATACTACAGAGATGTGCGTTCGGAATTTCAGGTACCTGACAAAAAAAGTAGCCGACAGAGGATATTTCCCGTTCGTAGTGATACGTCCAGAAAATAAGGCCAGTCACAGTCTGTATAAAAAACTCGGCTTCAGACAGCTTTATCAGATCGTTCGTATGATCTTCACGCCCGCCACGTGGCAGGAGAACGACAACGACGCGAACGTTCTCAGGGATAATTTGGAGAACGCCGTTAGGCAGCTCACCATCGAGCAAAGGGTCATAACGGCCTTGAGCGATCAGAAAGAAAACGGGAAAACGATACAAGATCCCGCAGGAACGGAAGAGGAGGAGGAGGAGGAGAAGAAGGAAGAGGATGCCAATGAGGAAGAAGTTCTCGAGACTATCGAGGAGCAATCCGAGGAGAGAACAGACGTCGCGGACGACACGGCAGCGGCTGACGATGCGGCGGAAGTCGAGGAAGACTGCGTGGCGGAAACGACGGGTGGCAACGACGAATAAATTTTATAGCGTGCGTTTACGCGATAAACGCGCGCGTGTGCGCGCGTGACGGTCCATAATTCACGTTTTATTTGCTCGAAGATACGCTCTTCGCCGTGTGGAGGCAGCGAAGTGCTTAAGTAAATCGTGAAAGGGAGTCTCTTGAGCACGGAATCTACTCAGGAATCGTACCCAGAACTCTCTCTTTCTCTCTCTCTCTTTCTCTCTCTTTCTCTTGTGCTGTGTATCTTTTCTAGATACGGCTGATACGGCTGTATCTGCTCAGAGTTCGATAAAAAAAAAAAAGAAAAAAAAAACCAAACCACTATCAGTTCATAGGTGATAACGTTCTTCTGTGAATTGCGCTTTCCGGTATTACTTGACGACGTAATACATATTTATCTTCGAATTACATATTGTCGGAAATACATTTGCTATACACACATTCCCTCTAATGTTTAAAAAATCCAGCACAAGTAACATTGCGTTTAAATAGAGTTTTAAACGGCAAATATATAGATTTATATTATGTGAGAGGAGAGCGCAGCGCCTTCTTCGAGCGATAAAAACAAAACAAAGAAAAAGTCAAAGATAGAAAATATTTTAAGAGATTTTGACATTTAAAAAAACGCACGTTCGTGCGAGGCTTCAATTTGCGTACGAAGAATCGTAAAAAAAAATAAAAAATAAAAAAAAATTCTTCGCACGATTTACTCATATCATAGTCTTTTCGAAACGACATGAAAATTGGACGATATATCAAAGAGCTCTCGGATCTTTGAGTTGATAATGTTACATCTCATTGTGAAGTCTATTCGAGTCACAAGTGTTGTTCTTTCTATGTATAATTTAAAAAATTAAAATTGTCAATGTTGTCGGTGATTCGTTATAACGTTGCGTTCAGGAAAATGTATCTGTTTAATATATTCAGATATTTCTAAATACAATCGTAAATGAGAAAAAAAATTGTCGCATGTACAATGGTTAGCTGTTTACGTGTCTATGCGTGTACATTGTTTCATTTATTTCGCCATAACATTTGTCCATAAAGGATAAATTGCTGTGGATCAGGTGTATATGTGACACGTATTTATTATTATTATTTGTATGTGATATATATTTATTATAAATTCTATATCAGTGTTTCATACATTATTCCTGTATCAATGTTTAGCTATTCAAAGCGTATGAATATAAAAAACTCTGTTGATTTAGATCTGACTGTTCCGTTTTTATGAATTTGCGGAACTCTGAATTCGACATTTCAAAAAAAACAAAAAACAAAACCGATTGATTATCTTCCATCAATTAAAAATCTGCGGGACGAGTCGAACTGTGATTATTATTTTCGCGTGTAAAATAGAATGTCGAGAGAAAATTTACGAAGCCTCGTGCGATCTCGTCACGCTTTTATCGAATATAAGATAGAAGTAACTTGCTGTGTCGGTGTAGATATCCGCGTAGATGAAGCTTGTGGAGAAGCCGGTTTTGATAAAAAAAAAAAAGAGAAAAAAGAAACAATTTCTCTCCCGCCGACACACTACTAATCTTTTACATTTTTCAATTTGCATACGTGTACGTTACGTCATAATTTACAAATTACAGATATTTTATAGATAAAACGCTTTGTGCTTCGTAATCATAAGATATTTCCGAATGCACTTACCGCAATTTCCCGCAGAAACTCTCATGTACACCGTCACAGCAATTACGTTAGAGAGCGTGCGCGAGTTAGTAATAATGATAATATTAACGAACGCGCGCAACGCACGGCGTGAGATTAATATTATTATTATTGATAATATAATAACACGATTATACGTACGATATATAAATACCGCGCAAAAAAAAACAAAAACAAAGGGAGTCTAGTCAGTTCGTCGACTCCGTCTTCGGGAAGACCTGAGATTTTAGAATAGCTACTATTTGTATAATTTTTTCTACGTTTCATAGACGATTTATCAACAAACTATACAAGACGGGTAAAACGCGTAAGGGAGAATCGATTCCGAGCGAGGACGGAGTCGGAACGAGCGTGCAAAACTCTTAAGGCCCCCTCCATTCCTTCCCCTCCCCCCGAAAAAATTCATCTCGTTTATTTTTCATTTTACTATTATAACACCGGGGGGCCAGCTGTGATACTTTACTCAATCTCCACTTACACCCGGTCGTGGCACCAAGATAAAAGAAAAAAAAAACTTTAGTCTAGGTGAGAATCAATCGTTGTTACCAGTCCGTGCGCTTCACAATTTGATGAATGCGTTTATCGGTTTTTGCGCGTTACGTTTTATCCTCCCCGAGATTTCCATATCCGATCGGACGAAGAGAGATTTAATTACACATACACACACACACACACACGTACACATACACATATTTCGCGTTAGTCGTGAAAATTTATTCGATCGAAACGATGTATGATGACAATCCGTGTAAACACAATCTCTATTTTCGTATAACACACTTCATTTCCGTTTTTCTGATATTTGCGAACAAATTCAAGTGAATCAAACTAGCATAAGTATTATTTCCTGATCTGCCAATAGTTTTATGGATTCGATATTAATTACGAATTAAGCGATCTTGTGTTCAAGCTCGAGTGGCGCTTGCGAGCACAAAGGTTGAAGAGAGATCGGCCGTCGTGAGAAAAACTCTCAATCACGCATACGTAATCGCGTTAATAAAACAACTCGAGTGTGTGCGGTGGATATATTCATATTTTTTTTCGTTATCGCGCGCGACCCGGAGCGACACGGAGCGCGAGAAAGTGACTCTTGACCACGTTGCACGTGCCTCTTTTTTCTCGATGACTCGCGACGTAAATTAGAAAGTGAAGTGGGACTCTCTTGCGCAATTGCGGTCGTGTAGTTTTTCGTAAACTGCGCTATTTAATTTTACAACAGGGTTAACAAAAACCAAATCCACGAGAATAGGTACATTGTTACGCACGTGATTTCGTGCGTATTGTAAGACGATCGAGGTTTTGTTTCGCCTCGCTAGTAGATTTGTACCTCTGGACGTAAGAAAACACAAAAAAATACCTCTTCAACCTGTGTGTTATCGCAAGGCTTCAGCGGTGAAATATTCAATTAATTAAATTTTCCTCTTGAGATTTTTTTGTATATACGCACAACGTCATCGATACGAGTAATTGTTGATAGGAACTTACGCGTGTCTGACGGAACAATCACCTCTTTGCCTCTTCAAAGACTCTTCGCGAATCCACTTCTTAAGAGAAAACATTCAAAAAAAAAAAAAAAAAACAAACAAAAACCACATCCACACTTACACCTGCCGGCGCGCACCTGTTTTTGCCCACACTGTCAAAGCTATGAGAAAAAAAAGTCACGGAAATTTTATTCCGAAAGCACGAACAAGAGCAACAACGAACTTATTACTATACAACACTACTACTAAATAAACCAGCCTGTAGTATTGCTAATTCTAGCGCTGTTTTAAACCAGTGTGTGTATCTCGCGAATTAGGCCTAAAAAAAAGTCCGCCCCTCCCCCAAGAGGCGTCCCAATACTACGTATATTGTAAATACACTATACAATAATTATTCCCTTCTCTATCTTCCTTTCTTCTTCTATTGCACGTTGCTTTCTATTGCAACAAAACAAAAAAAAAAGTATAAAAGAGATCTTCGTCTAGGACAAACAAAAAGAAAACACTACCGTCTAAAACCTCAGCCCTGTATGATCTATGAAAGTCGCACGAAAAAAGAAAAGAAACACAAAGCGAAGTAAGTGTGTATCGCGAGTGTGTATAAAACATTGTTTCTCTGAATTTATTTGTTTACGTTTACAGAGAGCGATTACGCGGAAGAGAGAAATAACGTTTGATAATCTTCTGTAGTATTTTCTTTTTTTTTTGTTTGTTTTTTTTTTGGTTCACAACTCAACTAGTAGGCGTACACACAAAATCTTTACGAGAGCGTGAGGAAGAAACCAATGCGAGAGAATATCGAATAGTTTTGTGAGAAATGGATTAATTGTGGAATACTGGAGACAAGAGCTTTGGATAAAAATAAATGGAACAAACAAATACGATTTTTCAACTATAGTGTCGTTTATTATGCGTTTTGATTCGCTATACATTCATTCATTCACATTGCTTATTCACACAGCACTTGTAAATAATTAACTTTGCGCGCGCGCACACACACACACACACACAAACACACACGCACACGCAAGCAGCAGACAGACAAACAGAGAGACATTTCCTGCAAAATATTAATTTATCTTGCGAACACACTCAAAACTAAATAAATCATCAGACAAAACGCACTTGATAAAAGAAAAATGTTGATTTATCTCAAACACTATTATTTAATATTGCTTCAGACTTTGTTTTCTTTTTTTTTTTTTTATGCCATAAAAAAGTGTATAGAAATACACACACCTCGTGTCAATACCGCGCGATATAGGCAAACAACTTTAGTCACTACTTGAACTCGAATATGCAACAGCACATTTTGAAAAGAGGAAATGTGTTTTTCCTTTCAAATTCGAAGCTTTTTTTAACAATTGACAAACAACGAGCATCATACACACTTTCGTAGTAATCCTCGTGTTCTCAAATCCTAGTACACGTACTCGCACCAATTAGGATTTTTCGCACGCAAACAACAAGAAACGCGTCTTCTCTTAAATTGCAGCGCTGATTGTTTATCTCAAGAGTCATACGACAAAATATACAAAAAAAAAAAAAAAAAAACTGATCAATTGATCAAACATGTGGTTGGAATCAGTCAAATGCGAATTAATTTAACGTGTTAATCGTCTCACACACGTCAATTTCGCGTCATCGCTTGCTTTACTTGTAAATACGTGTAGTTTCACAGAATCGGGTGTAGTTTCGTCTAAAGAAAGGCTATAAGTACACACGCGTAGTCGTCGCTACGTCAATCACGGTTTCAAATTTGTCACCACACTGACGTTTCGCAGCACTTAAAACGGTGAGTTAACGACGAAAGACACATACACAAAACAGCTCTAATAACGAATTTAAATTTCAAATCGTGAAAAACGCGGAGTGCACTTTGCAAGAAACGATACGAAGTAAGTCGCACTCACTTGGGTCGTCGCGAACATTCTTCGAGGATCCCCGTCGCCTCCATGTTCTCGAAAAATGTTCCGTCATTCGGAGCGGCGGAGGTCGCAAAACGTCACGCGATTTTCCCACGCAAGGATATATCCTGACTAACACTGAATACCGATCGTCATCGCTGACAATGTCCTCGCGAAACTTGCAGTTAGCGGTTACGAGAGAGATGTACACACACGACGCTCGGGGAAATCGGAGTAACACGACGCGCCGCGCGACGCATGTTCATGCAACGACCGCGAGAGATTGCGAACGACTGCAAGGGACCGCCACTCGCGTCCGTGGCGACGAAACGACAGGTGAACTGGTTGGCGAACTGAACGACGCGCCATGCGCGCCGCCGACTCGGCCTCTCGCGCAGGACTCGGCCGCGCTCGGCCGCGCTCGGTCACCTCCGTTGCGCCCTGGTGGGGCGAGCAGTGTATCCGTGACGTCACATAATTAGAGTAAATACAAAGTAGTCTTGATGGGACAGCGGCGTGCGCCGCACCGCTGAGTCGCTGGTCCGCGCGCGTCAAACCTATATCGCTTCTGATATACACGCACACCGCGGGTAAAAGCTCGTGATATATAATCCGCGCACTATGTGCCGTAAGTGTGTGTGTGCGTCAAGGGATCCTAGATGACTGTGGAAATAGTGAGTGACACTTGTGCGGCAAAGAAATGGAAAAGATAGAGGTGAGTTTTAACGAAACGCCGGGTTTTTTTAGTTGTGTTTAAATATATACATCATCATATCAGAGCGCGAGTATCTCAGTGTTTTGTTATTAAAATGCGACGTCCCGCAAACAAATTTCGCGCTTAATGCTCTCTTCTTCTGTTTTTCCTTGTTTCTAATTTTTATTTTATTTTATTTTTTATTTTATTTTTTTTTATTTTATTTTAATCACTGCTCCGCGCTCTCGTTGACCCCTTCTTCCCCTTTTGCCCATGTTCTCCCACCCCCTCCTCAACCCTCTCCCTTCCTATAACCATCAGATTTACCTCGGCGAATACTCGCTCGGCCGTAATGCAGAAGTGACAGCGTGTTGACGAGTAGGAGAGTGGGAGGGGGAGAAGAGCGAGGAAGGGGTAACCGTTGGGAGAAGAGATGATCGTGTAAGATATTAGACATCTGGCGACGAATGCCATTGTATTTATCTTCAATATGCTACATTATTAAATAGACTACTTTTCTTATTCCTCGTCTCTCTCCCTCTCTCTCTCTCCTTTTTTAAAGCCATCATCGTATGTATCCTCGTATTCATCTTAGTTTTATTTTCGATCTTCTTTGTCAAGTTTATAGTTTCGTCCTTATCTCTCGCGCGTCTCCCGCCGACTATGCCTTTTGCTCCCTCTCTCTATCAGTCCCAGTACTTTTCTCTCTCTCTCTCTCTCTTACTCTTTCCACTTATATCTTTCTCCGTTTGTCTTTCGCGTTCTTCGTTCTGCCAACCACATTTTGTACCTCTCTCTCTAACCTCCTCCGTCTCTTTCGCACTCGACCGAGTCTCCTCTGCACCGCGTTCTCCCTCTCTCTCCCTCTCATTCTGAGTTAGTGAGGTATTTATAGATGTGCCTTAACCCGATTTAACGCAGCTACCTCAACTCGCATTGTCCTAACGACTATTTAATGAGAAATTGCATTGTTTTCCGATCCCTATCTCCTTTGCTCCCGAACAAGCAGTTTTCTCTGAATTTGATATCGCGTCTTATCGCGACAAATAAATGCGTTTTACGCGATGAATAAGAAAATAAAATAACAATCAAGAAAAAAACAATAGAGACAAGCGACGGTGGCGTTATCCGTCATATACACGTCCGGGGAATCGAATCGATAAACGGTTACGTTGTTATTACAGCGAGAGAATATCGTTGTGTTTCGTGTGCGCCATACGGCGAGTGCGTATACGCGAATCCAATTTCAAAGCTTTTAAGATCATCTCGCGAACAAAATCGCGGCTACACGGTGGCGCTAGCGGGGGAGGTGGGAAAAAAAATGTTTTCGTAGTGCTCCGTCCGAAAAAGGTATACGTACAGTCCGCGAAGAAAGTTCATCGGCAAAAAGACGGAAGAGTGTTATTGCCGCGTCCGTGAGTTTTCTTGTCGTGCGCGCAAACTCCTGTTTATTTACACACTATGCGGAATAATCGTTGGCTTTACGGTCGTTCGCAGTGCACAACTCGATCTTATTGACAATTATACGTACACACGAATAAAATGTAATGTTGCGCGCACGCATGACGGATTTTCTGATGGTTGCAGCTTTTTTTTTTTTTTTTTCCCGAAGCGCTCCCCCGTGCGTGGTGCTCTGTGCTTGAACTCTCTTCTCGCCCCCTCCTCTGCTCCTCTCCCCTTGCCCCGGTTATCCGCCCTGGCTTCCCAGTTCACTCCCCACCCTACTGCTCGCGTTCTAGGAACGAATTGAAAGTATACGTTTGAGAATTAAATCGATAAACGCAGAATCACGAGTTACAGCGAGTAATTATTGTATCTACGACTCACTCTCCCTCCTCCCACCCTTCTCCTCGTTTTATCATTGATTTATTACAAAAATATGATGTAAATGTGTGTCTCTACTTCCTAGATTACTTAAACACTTTCCTTAATGATTCATATACGTGAATTGTGAATAACACAGAGAGAGAATAAATTATCTCATTTGAATATTAAGAGCTAATTACTCGAAAAAAAAAGAACGTCATGTATACAATTGCAAAACATTGTTTGCATACATTTTTTGTTGCTAATGATTTCCTCCACGCTTATCGCTGATTTACTCGTTCGCTGTGTTTCGATCTCGCGTGGAAAACAATGGAGCAAGTGCCGGTCTAAAAACGTCTCTTCTCGCAAACGAATTCTACGACGAAATCAAATTCCAAGGTGGAAGACGATCGCCGCGATTCAACTCGTCCTTGCTTTCGCTCGCTTTTGCGCGATCGAAGCTGCAAACGGTTCGTGCGGGGAAATAAAATTCGCGCGTCGAAAACAATAGCCGGTGATTTATATCATCGCGTCTAATTCGCGCCTAGGGTTCTCTCCTCCGCGCGCGCGCGCGCGAAAACAGATTTTTTTCTATTTTTTTTTCTTGCAAATACGGAGAAGGTCGTAACAATCGCGAATGATTTTTGTTCGCTTTTCCAACCTTCGGTGTGTGCACGCGCGCGCCCATTTTTAACGTACATTCGATTCGCGCAAGGATTGCGAGATGAAATAAAATGTCGCGAAGAAGGTCACGCAAGCTGCATTTATAATGTCACGTATTTCCGAACACGAGCTGCATCGTCGCTACGTAAGCGCAATATGCAACGGGAGGGTATATAAAACTGTCGTGAGGAGAAAGAAGGGAAGGCCAAAAAAAAAGAAGAAAATAATAACGATGACTTGTATCGTCTTTGTTTTTGCGCGCGCGATAAAAATCGATGCTGCTGCGCCAGTTGCGGCGGCAGGCGAAGACACTAAATTTAGTACATTGTGCACTTCGACATACGCGACGAATGTGACGCCGGCGTATTACGTCGCGATAAAAATCGACGTTTTTCCGGACGATCGACGGGCGAATGAAATATCACGAGCGTGATCGTTTTGCGCTCGCGAAATGGAGAAAATAATACACGTATTTCGAAATTCGTGGCAATGTGTGACGCAGCAATATTATACTCACCTCGTGAGTAATAAAGAGTCAAGAGCGTTTTCTCACACAGCAGTTTATTTACGCGCAAGGTTACCTAACGCTGTTTTACTTGTGTGACGTTGATTGTTTTTGAAATTGTATCGAATATACCGAACGCGCGATACGCGCATATCACAACATTGACGTTCAAATATCACATTTCATCGCGACGTCAAGAAGCAAACGAAAACACATTAAGTGCGACATTAAGATGTTATGAGTGCACACTCAATATAACAAAAATCTTTAAACGTGTTATTTTTTTAAATAATTCCACATTTTTTTAAATTATTTTTTATTACATAGTTCATACAAATTTATATAATAAGAATATTTTTATCAATATTTATACATATATATTATATTATTTAAACAGCACTTAATGCATTCATATATTTATTCATAAAATTACACTATCGAATTTTGTTCGGAATGATAAAGGTTTTTGTTTACATTTCTCTGTAATATAAATTTAAATTAGAATGTATAAATTAAATATTATCATATTTAAGCGCGCGTAATATATTCAAGCGCGATAGTACTGTGTTTTGTCTCTGTTGGAAAATTGCGAAGTCTCGCTTGTGATATTTGTAATTATAATGCGTATGAGATACACACACACACACACACACACATACGCACGCGTGCGTACACTCACCCACGCACACGTGCTTACCTGCATACGGAAAATTATTCTTTCTATTAGCGCGAGAAGGCGCAACCTTCGTACAGACACCGAGCTCTTTCTGTTTCTCGTTGTTTTCCAAGTATCTGTATCTTTTTTTTATATTCATTTATCCGGTAATCGTGCGTGCATACAGAGCCTGTTACGTGGAGTCGCATATCCGACGTGTTTACACGCCTGTATCTCTGTGTGAAATCATCGGGATCACGTTCGTACGCGCGCGCGTATGTGTGCGTGCGTGCGTATGTGTGAGTGTGTGTGTGTATGCGCGCAGGCTGAGTTGTATAGAGCGAGTCAAATTCAACTGAGCGAGAGAACGTGGGGGGACAGGTGCTTCTCTCTGACAATAGTCGACCGATAGCGTTTCTAAAAAGTGCTCGAACATACTCTCAGCGTGACGGCAAATAAAGTGAAATGCTCATCGTAGTAAAAAAAATACTTTTCCTGAAATGCGATCGCGCGATCGCGTAGATATGTGTGCGTGTATGTTTGTGCATGCGCGATTTTTACAGACGAATCGAAAAGGCAGTCGCTCGATACAAAATGCGACAAATTTCGACTTTTTAATTTTACTTTTTAATGTGCGCGCAGAGAGAAAGATGAGATTCTGTTACTTTAAACCATCGGATGTGTTATTATACGGAAATACGACTTTTTGATTGAAGTAGTGCACAGAGTAGAATAATAAAAAAAAAAAAATAATAAAAAAATTAAATAAAAAAACAAAATTAATCGCGTTAATGGAAAAAGTTTTTCACCGTTGGCGTATTTATTCGAATTTATAACTCGCGCGGACGTGCGTGCATTTATTGATCTTTTTGTGCCACCCATTATCCATCCATAGAATCTGCCTTGCCTTCCCCAACCTCCACACGGCCTCACTCCCCGTCTCCTTCTCCTACCCCGCTTATCTGCTCGGTCTTTTCACCGCGTCAATGTCTGTAAATATTAACGCTGTTAATCTAAATCCTCGACGTTGATTTCGCGTTCCACCTCTTTTGCCCCGTCCTTTTCGGCCTCCTTTATTTTCCATTTCTCTCGCAGCTAACGACATTAAACGGAAGTACCCACTGCTGCCTTAATGAAATTTACTTTTGAAGCTTTCTAGGTGCTCGCCCGTACTCTTACGTCCGGAATTATATTATAACAGAGTGAGAAAGAGAGATAGAGACACACAGAAAGAGAGAGAGAGAGAGAAAAAGGACGCAAGAAACGTTGTCGATTCGTACGTTGCGCTCGACGCTGGTTAATTAATCCAAGATTAAGTATCGTTTATTGCAAAATTGCATGTCCGTCTCCGTGCGACACTTAACTAGCAATTTAGCGCATCGCGGCGTTATA